ATATTCGAACCTTGTCTTGGCGCGTAGCCCCTTTTTCCGGCTCCCCATCATGTGCCATTAGGTACGCCGCATAGCTCACGCGTCTATCTCGCCGTGTGTGTGGCGTATATGTGCCGTGAGACTCACCACCACGTTCGTCATTTTTAGAGCGTATGAGACTCGCCACCAAATTGTTGTTCAGGTTGCATGTACCGACATAACTCAGCAAGATTGAACACTTGAGTTGCGTGTGGCTCATTCCTAAATGAGGCTCGGTGTACAAATAATTATTCTATTAGATATACCAATCATCGAGCTCCAATCGTAGTTCCCTATCGAAGTTCATACATATGTTCCGTTCCGAGAGGCTTCAATACAGCATGCAATGCAACGGCGTAAGACTACATTGGTGGTCTCCTAATATATACTATCAATCCTATGAGGAATTATGTGTTCTTCATAAACCTGCTCGAAGTTTTATTGGATAATTATCGCGACCAGTGAAGGAGAAGAGATCTTCTGCATATGTATTAGTATTGCCTAGCCCCTGAAGTGATACTACAGAAACAATATAAGACTGTGCAAACCCATATTGGCGCGATAGCTTCTATTTGTTTCAAACATATACCACGGGCAGCACGGGTTTATCGTAAGATATTATCAGGTTTTCGAGGAAGGGTGGTAGTCTCAAAGACGCAAGTCTAGGCCTTTGTTAAAACGCCATGCTCTCCTACACAGGTCGACGGGACCTGGCCAGAGTGTCAATTAGGTTGTCATAACGGCTGGGTACTGGAGAGTACGCGGGCGATAGGTATATAATGATTATTCCTTCGTTCGTGGCATATATTCATAAGAGTCTACGTGGTTAAATGCATCACTCATGAGTCATCAAAGGCTGTCTTCTATCCAATAATGATAAAGATGCAGATGGTAAAGCCGTGGGGTCACGAAAAGACTTGCACGGTGAGGAAGACAGTACCTATATGATTCATACTGTTGACATGTCCCCTTATTTTGCCATGTCGACCTACAGCTTAGGGGCCATACAATATTACTCCCGTCAATTATATCTACCCATGTAAATACATTCGATTAATTCTAGTCACATTGTTATTCTCGAACTTGATGCTACGAATATTAATGTGTACGCTACTCTCACGCTGCCTCCTCGCTTTGTTAAACAGTTTCCCTGGCCAGAAACTGATAGTCCATGAAGGACAAATGAATTAGAAGCATGCTTTACATGACTTCAGACTTTTACTCATTCACGTATTCCATACCAGATGAGTTCACAAGCTTGAGAGTAGTCCTATCTAGAAAATGTCACAATGGACCTCCGATCTCGTAGCTGTATCTACTCAGATACCCGAATCGCCATAATCAAGGTAGCGAGCAATGTCAATGTTCTAGGTCATTCTACGTAGTCTATAGTGGTATCATACTTGCACTCCCCCATCCCATCTCTCCCTCTCGGCACAACAAGCCCACCTCACCCCACCAAGGCTTAGTCGCACAACCCCCCTATTTCCCACCCCCGTTCTGCGCCTCCCAGGCAAATGGATCGTTGCTCGGATCCAGATCGCGCACGTACTCGGCGGCGTCGGCCAGGCCTTCCGCCACGCCGGCGCCGAACTGGTCGGCCACGAAGGCGTACATCATGTCGATGCCGGCCGAGACGCCCGAAGACGTCCACACGTTGCCGTCGGCGACCCAGCGCGCGTGGCGCACCCAGTCCACGTGCGGGCCCTGGGATGTCGCCTTTGTCTCCGTGTCAGCTATTCGGACTACCATGTAGACTTCTATGTAGACTTTCCGAAAATAATTAAATATATAATTGGCGAGACAAGAGGATGAGATGAAAGAGGGGAACGACGTACCCAAGCCCAAGCCCGCTTATTCGAAGTCGCGCGCCTGCCATCCAAGACCCCGGCCCGGGCCGCCACGGCGCTGCCCGTGCACACGGTGAGCAGGAACCGCAGGCGCGGGGACCTGGCGCGGACGAAGTCCACGACGGCCTGCACGTTGGCCGGGTCGCGGGTGCCGGCGCCGCCCGGGACCAGCAGCACCTCGACGTCCTCGGGCGCGTCGGCGAAGGTGCGCGTCGGCACCACGGACTGCCCGGCGCTGTGGCCCGTGGCGGCGGTCCTAGTCGACACGGGGTCCGGCGTGGAGGAGAGCATGTGCACGGTCAGGGGAGTCTGCTTGGATAGCATGTTGAGGATGTCCAGCGGCCCGAACACGTCCAGCGCTTGGAACCCCGGGAACAGGGCTACGGCGAACCGGGTCGGTGGCGCGGGGCCGGTGTCTGGGTCTCGTGTCGGCATGGCTGCAAGGGGGGGGGATGTCTTAGGCGGGTGGGTGGCCCGGTGGCGGGTTGTTGGACTTGGTAAGGATGGAAAAGGTTAGGTGATACCGTATTTATCTAAGTTGTAAAATGATCGAATGTGTATACAATGGGTTTAAACAATACAACGAATCAATGCAATTCGGGACCGAGTCGCCCGTCATGGCGCTCTGAGTATACCTAAAAAGCAGTTAGGGCGTGGATGACGTGAAGGTCGCTAGGAGATCGTGATCCGGATTCGGAGCCGGCATCCCGAGCTGAGTCATAAGGGCGGCCTTAGACGGGACTAGTGTCGAACAAGCTGCATGGATTGACGAGGAAGCTGGTGCCTGCTGGGTGCTGAAAGTCAGGGGAGGAAGTGGGTGGCTGAGTTAAACTCCGGAGTCCATCGCGGTTAGGGCTACTTCTACGGGCTATTGTAATACACGCGGTTTAATGTAAGAGCCGCACCGGATTAGATCCCCCATATTGGAGCTACGACATATCATGCAGGATATATCCTCGTAAACGCGCTAGAGAGGATCTTAGCTCGGGCTATGCATGATGAGTAAATTCCCCTTTTCTGAGATGTCGGTAATTATTAGGTATCATAGGTTGGTAATTGTTCGTAATTGACGGCTAACTGAGGGTGAGTAGCATCTAATTTATAAGCAAAGGCGATATTCTTGCTGCGAATGTGGCCGCAGAGATGAGCATGTCCAATTCATCTCATATTCCAATGAACCGTAATACCGAGAGACGGAGTTAAACCGGACATCGAGCTCTAGCGAATATATCGCCTACGACTTGCGCGCTATTTACCGCCGAAGTAACTCTGGTCGAGGTCGGCCTTGCTTGTGCCAATCTGCACTTGATAGACATAACTGTCGACCTGTACGGTCTGGCCGCCGTAAATGCCGAACTTGGGATCGCTCTCCCCGGGATACATATTGCCGGTCAAGGTCTGAGACTTGGTAGTATCGAAAGTAATAGGCTTGCCGTTGAGCCAGAGCTTGACGTGGCCGCCGCTCGCCTTGGCCAAGATCTCCATGCCGACCTTGTACACCGTCTGCGTCTTGATGGCTTGCGACCACTGCACCTTGCGGCCTTCTCCCCACTTGAAAGTGTGCGAGAACTCTAGCTTGTTCTGGCGCAGCTCGAGAGCTAGAGGGATGTTGGCGCCGCCGTCTTTGTCGTTGTTGGCCTTGTACTCTTTCCATTGGAAGATGATGAGGCCGTCGGGGAGTTCCTATGTATTCGTAAGAATTTATGTGGTAAACATAGGTATTGTTCCTTTTCAAATGAAGGAGCCGGTACTAAGATTGAGCAAGGAAAGGCCTTACCTGAAGAGAGAATTGATACGAGATGAAGTACGTAGTCCCTGCCTTAGTCTGGCCCTTCAGCGCATGATATTCGGCCCTACGGAATACTTGCGTTAGTCTATTGAGATAGATCCATTGCGATTGTACCATAGACGTCTTTCATACCTGCGGTCTCCAGCTTTGTGGTGGAAGTGTGCGGCTGCGACCCCCTTCGGATCCTTGTCTAACTTGACGTACAAGTCCGCAGTGTTACCTTTAGGTTTGACGCCCTTGGCCTCCTCTAGGTTGAGAGTGCCGAGTACTTTTGGATCATCACCGCGAGCGGCATTGAAGTCGACAAGAAGAGGTATCTTTCGCGAAATGTGCTTCGATGGGATCGGCTCACTTTGGACGGGCTGGATCGAAAGCAGCGAAAGGAGGCTGAAGAACAAGTAAAGTAACAACATATTGAACGAGTTGACTACCACTATTGGTAATGGCCTTGGATTTGTTGTTGTCTGTATGAAAACGAAGTGCGGGCTTCACTTATATTTATATTGACAGTCGGGCCACAGGGTCGCTGAAGTCGTGCTCGGATATTTCCCCCAATCGATTATCTGGGGACCGAGCCAGTAATCAATAATACAATTTCGATATGCCTTATGAGTAGTGAGATCTGCCTGATTATTAGTTCCTTAGTATCTAAAATGATTTACCTCGCGGTATACATCTGCATACGGAATACGGGATGTGAGCAACGCTGATGTAAGCTGCCGTATGGGCATGTCGAAAGTAACTTATTATAACCAATTTCGATGTAGCGTGGAACATCCGAAACTTATTCTTGAGATTTTAAATAAAGACCTTGGTACGTTCATAGACTTGCTGTATTGTACATGTAAGAATATAATAGGGGTCGTGTAGGGTCTTGCCTGTTTTACTCTCCAAGGTGCGATGGACCTAAGCCTTTTATAACTATTGGCTACTCAGCGACTGTAAGATGTTAGCACCTAAATCATCATGACTCTATTATCGTAGCATTGTGACCCCTGACCTCAAGTTTGCTAGCTGTCTGGTCAAAATGACATGTAGCAAGGTTCAAATAATTTCTTTTTCGCCCTACTGTTTTTTTATTCCAAACTGGTATCAATTACATATAGTAATACTAACGGTGAACTAAGCTAACATGACTTTTAAATGGTGGCGATAATCTTAATCCAGAAAGGGGTCAAGCTACAGAGGTAGATATGACTTTAATGAGACGACCAACCACCACAGACATGAATCTATAGTCTTGAAGAGGGAATACAAATAAACTTAAATAATTCCAAATAATCTATCAACGTTTTCTAATGAAAATATATGAGAAGATAACCAAAAAGAAAAGAAGAAATGAGCACCTGCGCCGGGATTCGAACCCGGGTACCCGGCTTACTGACTATAGAGTGTCGGAGTCCGGTGAGTTAACCACTACTCCACACAGGTTTACTTGCTATGATATCAAAAATTTTGTTATCCAAGGTATTAAGCATTGACTCAACTCCAGTGGTGGGAAATCCAGCTCATATGTCGATGCATTGATGGAATATAACTTATACGGGGCTTCCAGGGTTCTCGTAGCATGATATAAGAGGGAAACAGGTCATATTTGTTTGGTGCTCTGCTCTGTTCTGCTGAGGAAAGAACGGCGCGGTAGACTAAGACTGATTCGCAATTGTTAGGCCACGCAGTGTCTAGAAGACGAGGTATTGTAGAAGAGTGGCCAATGAAAGACTCAGAACTAACCTTGAAAGTCATGTGCGATTATAGATGTCGATACTGCCAGACGTACTTACCCAGGGAGGTGGCTGCCTTTTGTGAAACTTGCTCATATAATGCTTAAATTACCTAATAGTATACTTACACCATTAAGTAGGTACCGAAGCATAAGTACACTTTTAAGTAACAAAAGACATGGGTATAACCTTAAAGTGATTAGCAAATACTTGAGTGCACGTCGTGATTGCTTCTTGTCAGTTGTAAGTCTCATAATTTGTAGACAGGACATCGAATCAAACTACTTGGGAGGTACCTATCTGACCTTAAGGTTAAACTTACCTAATTTTACGCTCATCACTAGGTACATAGTAATGGAAGAGACAAAGAATCCCTCTTAAAACATGAATCTTACTTCCCCTTTTCTAAACCCCCCTTTTTCATTTCTACTAATTCACGTGAAAGAAATGAAACATAAGAAAGGTCTTGCCCTACTTGATAAGTGATACTGATTGTTTAATGGAATACAAAACAGGCTTATTGTTCCTTATCAGTATAACTAACTTTGTGGAGCCACGACTGACAATAGAAGCCCCCTTTATTCAGACTTTCTATTTGTTTTCTTTTCTTTTTCTAGACAACCTTGAACTCCCTAGAAATCACAACACGACTAGAACATATCTCTGGGATAGCAAACGATAATTTGGCAGCAAGGATAATCCATTGGATTCGTTTGTCAATAATTGATTGTTCTATAGTTAAAGACGGTCATGCCTTTGACATCTATCACTTCTCCCAGGTCTAGAGACTGGCGACCGGGTAAGATTGTCAAAACCTTTAGCCCAGATGAAGAGGTCTTTAGACAGGTACGTTCAAAATGCGCCAAGGCATGCGCCGACTATAACACTATTGATGATAACGCTAGTTCCATAGAAAGAGGAAATAAGTTTAAAAGTATCCTTCAGACCAACTCAGACCACTTCGCAGCGCCAACGATGGTCCAGACCCCGTTCTCTGTGGAATACGGTATGCGTGTGTATATAGAAGAGACCGCATTCATCGATCGTGATTGCAAGATCGTCGACACACCTGTCGCCGATGTGAAAATTGGAAAGTACTGTTCCATTGGACCACGAGTGACTATAGTCTCTGCCATGCCTCCTCCTATCCGAATCAATATCAATAGGATAGCTAGGACAGGTCGGCAGCTCGGAGGCGAGCCGGTAACGATCTACGATGGCGCCTGGATTGGAGCCTCGGCGGTGATCGGTCCTGGGGTCACCATTGGAAAGGGGGCTATAGTCTCAGCGGGAGCGGTAGTACTAGACGACGTTCCCGCGTACACCGAGGTACATGGTAATCCAGCCAAGATTGTCGATCGAGGCAGAACGAGACCAAGAGCTGATGATATAGAAGTAGAGGAGAGCAGTCCCAATCTCTCCCGCTTTATCTACTATCCCATGAATGAGGTAAACTAGCCACTCACTTATATATGAATTGCTTTAACATCAAGGTTTTCGTACTTCATTAATTTCCTACTAGAGATGACAACTTTGTAACCATTATAAGCGGTGAAGACAAGGTCAAATGTTAGCCTTGTTAGGAGATGCCGATTGTTGGTATTTACTAAAGCTAGGCAAAAAATAAAGCAAGGCAACTAGGATATTTCCCTTAAGAATCAGATTGTACTGGCTAATATCAATGTTGAGGCTGTTAATCAGTCACTGACACATTTGAGAAGAATGATACTTCGTGGACTACCCCTTATTTGCAAGGCGTTGTATTTTTTATTGGTTGTAAGTATTTGCTATCATCTATCCCACTCGACGTTAATCGTCTGTAGCAAATTAGAGCTGGTCCCATAAGCACATCGGCGCACTCTTGGAGTAATCTTTAAGAGTATTCTTGGTAAAACTATTTAGCCCCTGACGAAGACGTGAACCCCTATTCCCATACCTAATTTGCTCTTGCTCTCTTATCCTGTCTTCGACCTGACTTGATTTTTACTTAATGACCTTCCGATATGCTATAAATGCTATAGCCATGGTCTAGCCGTCAGTCAACCTCAAGACTAAAAGGGGCTAAAGTACAACTCAAATACCTGCTTATAGCTATACCATCCGACCTCCCACAAGGAGGATGGATAGGAGGCTTGACCCATCTCCATGGTATCCTATGTCTTTAAACTTCCGATGCTTGACACTTCAATAGCCACCGAACTTAACTTAACTCTTCTCGAAACATACAGTTTCACTTGCTTATCATATAGGTAGTCTGATTTCTTTGAAAATAGTGTTCTCTTATAATATCTTGGAAAATCCCAACCTCTGTCGTGATCTGAAGATACTGCCGTTTTAGGAAACTGGATCTGGTTCCGGACCAATGAGAAAACGTCGGGCGATGAAACGTTCGAGGCCATCGGCCTCGAGAGTCTACGTGACGATATATCCAACATACTATACTTTGTTCACGAAGTCACAAGATCATGACATCTCGACATGCTTTATTCAACCGATTCCAGGTCCACGGAAAAGAAGACACGCATTTGTAACCCTAGTATGAAGGATCAGCACACAAACTGAGGAATATTTTTCTTTTCTTCTTCCTCCATAACTACCAAATACCCAGACCATCACCACAAGTCCAGGTCATTGGAAGTTATCTCTACCCTACCCATCACACATACCTCCATACACATCTCTACACTTGTCATCCCTTGAAACAATTGCCACTCCTTCAAATAATTCTCGCTCCTCCGAATAATTGCCAAACTTTCGAATTACATTCACCTAAGGTTCACCGTCAAAAGCTATCCATCTCTCAAAAGAGATAAACTGCTGTCGCGTCTGAGCACCAGATACTGACATACCAAGAAGGCTACCTACCTTCAGCTAAAGCACTCAGCATCATCTTTGGCGCCAATTTCTATCTAGGTTGAGTGTAACAAGATAAGTTCCTGATCATCACCCATCATCCTTTTCACCAGCTTCCGTGCCTATTGAGTGTGGCAAGATAAGTCCATCTTCATCATGATGAGCTCCGTTGAACCCCGTCGCACCTGCACGGCTTGCCTCGAGCCCGCCGACAACACCCGCCGACTTCCATGCGGATGTTCCTACTGTTGGTCTTGCTTGTTTTCATTCTTCGACGTCAACTTGAAGCATAAGCTTACCTGGCCCCTGAAATGCTGCAAGATCGAGGTCACCGAGGACGATGCGGCGTGGGTGTCGCCCAAAATTCGAGAACTGTACCATGATACAGCTCTTAAGTTGAAGCAAAAGAACCAGCTCTACTGCGCCCAGCCACGTTGCAGCGCGCTTCTTGACCTCGCAGGGAACGAGAATGAGAATGGCGATGACAAGTTGGCCTGCCACAAGTGCGGTGCTAAGACCTGCAAGAAGTGCAAGCAGGCCGCTGAAGCTCATAGCAAGACCGGAGAGTGCAAGGCATCGGTCGCGGACACACAGTTGGAAATGGTAGCCCATACAGAGTCGTGGAAGCCTTGCCCGCACTGCGGCAACATGGTGTCTCGTAGCCATGGATGCAACCGCATTCGGTAAGTTTCCAAATCTTCTATCATTACATACCCCTATTATACTACGACGGCGGCTACCTCATCCACCTTCCAAGCTCCTTTTTACTCAAGTAGTACATGAATAATTGCTAATCAACATTCTTTTATCTAATTAGTTGTATCTGTGGCCACGAATTCTGTTACAAGTGCGGCATAAACTGGCAAGAGTGCGGATGTACGGCCCAGGCAGCCCGTGGTAACCAGTTGGAGCTTCCAGAAGAAGATGTTGCAGATGAGGATCAGGCCTCAGACGAAGAGAACGCCCCACCTATCCACTCGCCTAGCCCTTGGGATTACCTTTACGAGCCCGCAACCGACTACGAAGACTTGGAGCGTCGCGTTTTCACCGGACTCGGTCTGGCTCTTCCAGTCGTTCCGCGCGCAACTCCCCGGACCTTTCTGCCCGAACTTCGCTCGCTCCGTACTTGGGGGCTGCCTCGTCCCAGCAATGCGGATGCCTTCACGCGCAATCCGTATCGCGAACCCATGCCCTTGACGGTGCCAGCTCCCAACACCTACGACGGTTCTGTCGGCGAGCAACCGGTGGTGCCCTTGAGTAGTAGGGACCCTCTAGCTCCGCACCCTCTTCATCACGGCTTTGGTCGTTTTGCCAGCATGCAATCGGCACCCATGGGCGACGTGGACTCTGCGGCCCCGCAGCATCCTCCCCCTCACCGTGCCCCGAAGCGACCTCTAGGAGAGCAATCGGAGGACTCGCCCCCCCGAAAGCAGCCCCGACTTGGACCTTACACCCAAGCAGTCCAGAACCGCCCGTCTCGCGTCGGAAACGCGGATTTGCCGTCGATGCCTAGCGAACCGGCCCAGGACTTTGCATATAATCGACAGTACTTCCTCCGCCCTCAGTTGTGGCCCCTTGATGACGCGCTGCGCGGCTACAATCTTCGACGAGCTGCCGCTGTCCGAGAGGCGGAGGAGCGTCACCGTGCCCCTAGTCGCCGCCACACTCTCCCTTACCCCTACTCCCCGCCCCGTACTCGTAGCCAGGCTCCCCAATAAACGCAACCATGCCCTCGACAGCACGACGATACCTTTCACATTTGGTATTCGTCGGCAGTCATGTATTGTGTAAGTATTACTTCCCCTTCACCCCTGCCCCCCTTCCCTCGTCATCACAAATCCTACGAGCACAGGCTAA